TCTACCTCCCACAGGCCATCAGCCAGCACCACCCGCTGAGAGTCCACCGAGCCCCTCTGGCAGGGGCTGTGCCATGGGACCAGCGTCTCGCCATGGTGCTGAGCCCAGTCTCCCTCACCCTTGCTGTAACATGGATCTTTTGCTGATGCATTGTTTTGTGAGAGGCTACGCAGGGGGAACTGTCTCTGATCAATACTTAGTGAGGGAGCAGCTGTCAGACTGTGGGCACCGGGAGGAAGGAGCGTGGCACACAGGTGCTCCTTTGATCAATTTTAATGGTAAACACAAAAGTGCAGCAGCCATCGCCTGAAAAGCCGCAGTAGACAGACAAGGCTCCCAGTCCTTGTACAGCTGGCAGTGGAGACGTGGGAACCTGGTGTTGCCGCTAGAGGAGGAGGAAGGTGAGCGTGAGTTCCAGTCAAGAGGCCCCTTGCGGGGCAGGGTCTGTGCTTCATTCCAAACTCTTCCTTCCTGTCTAGTGCTCCGCGGCGCAGTGCTGAAGGAGCTGCTCCCAGACCTCAGTGAGGCAGGGGAGTCTGACCAGCATGGGGCCCTCTGGGGTGCCTTACTGTGCCACCCAGAACCCTCTTTCAGGACTTAACAATTTACTCTCCCCAGCTTCTGGGGGAGTTTGTCCTTCCTCTTTAGGAATCGCCTGAGCTGAAAAGAGCCATGTGTCCAAGTTTCTGTCCACTGCATCTGGCCGCCAGTATCCAATGCCTGGCCAGTATAAGAGTAAACAACACACCCAATCCCTTCACCCTGAGTCAGACATCTCAAAAGGGCCACGTCAGCAGGACTGTCCGTCACCTCCTACGACCGTGCCACAGCCCAGCTTCATTACCCCATCCTCCACCAGCCTTTCTCCCACAGGTGCTGATCTCTGCAGCACTCGCTACTAAACTTCTTGCTGGGTGACCTCTGTCTCAGAGCCTGCCTGCTGGGCACCCAGCCTGGGACGGTCTGCTGTTTAGAAACATAAAGATGGTGAAATGAGTTGAGGGTGACAGGCAGGGAATCTGGCAATGGGCAGCTACTTTATTCTTGTAAGATGTGTTGACCTATTTGATTTTTATAGATGTGCACATATTCATAATAAAAATTAAGCATAATATTAAAATTAAAAAATGGATTATTAAAAAAGGTTGCATTGCAACTATGGGCCAGATTTGGGTTTATCACATTTTATTTTTATTTGCAAATCATCAAAACCAAGCTCCAGAGATTCTCTTGATACACCCAAGATCCTGCTTGCCGACCACGCTCTGTGCAAGCTGCGCCTGTTCCTCCTATGGAAACTTCTTATTCTTCCATGCACACATGATGTGATCTCCACGCATGTGCCCAAGCCACAGACACTTGGCTTCTGCATGTTTCTTCCACTTCACCGCTCTCTTTCATCCAGACTTCGGAGGAGAGGAAAACAACCAGGACGTAAGGAAGGCATCTAGTAAATTCACCCTTCAGTTGACAGCATGAATTTGAAAGTCAAACAATCAGCTGAACACGATTTGATTTAGGATGTGCCTAATTTATCCTTCTATCCGGAGGAAAATGTTTCATGTCTCACTCAGATCTATCTCACACAGAGGATTTCAAAAGCCTATGCTAAAGCACTTCTGTTCTAACAGTCCACCCAGAGTCAGGGCCGTGAACTTACTAAGCATTTTAGAAAGAAAACCAAGGCTACCAATAGCCATGGCCTATAAAATAAAGGTTGATGTTCATCCATAAAAGATAATAGGTATGATCTGGAATCAGAGATCACTGTGAACAAAGAGGACATCAAGATCCTTCAGATCTTTCTATACCACTAAATAACTGTCGAAATTCCAGGTCTTAGAAGCACTGCAAGCAACGTCGTGTGGCGTGAAAGGAGCGCCGTAGTCACAGATTCAGCATGCACACATTGACATGCGTCCCCTCGGGAACCTGACTCGTATATCCGCACCTGGGACTTTTCCTCTGTAACGCTGCACTGTTCACATTGAGTGATGTCAGTCCCTGGGGAGCGCTGCTGTGCTGAAGGACGGTGCCAGCCACTGAAAGGCAATTTTAAACCACTGACTTCTGTTCAGCTGGTTGTCTGGTTGCTTGATGCTGTTGTTTCTAACTTAACATCTAAAGAATTTATTAAATGTGTTCTAAAGAGCAGCATTTAAGGAAGGATTTTTGACTATGGAATAGACTCCTAGGATGGATAAGGGCTGTTTCAGTGGCATGGTTTCTAAAAAGTTAAGAGGTCATTTCTCACGGATGATCCTCATTTCATCCAGGGGAGCCTTCAACTTCACACTAATGCCACTCTGTTTACAGATTTTAAATTTCAGTTAAATGAGAATCGGAAAGTTCAGTCTTCTCAAAATGAGAAAAAATGAGAATGTGTATATGGTTTTCATTTTTTCACTCTAAATCACAAAAATGATTTTGCTTTTAGCTTTAATCTGAGAAGAGTACACTATATACGTCGATATAACATCTGTGCATTCATACGATGTTCACTGACCTCTCTGAACAAGAAGAGAAAAACGATAAAACATCACCCAATTTAAATACATGCCCGTGTTTCCACAAATCGTTGCAGACAGCCAAATCATCGTTCTCTGGCAAAACACTACATTGTGAGTAACTCCACTTGAGTTGTACAATTGACAGATATGCTTCTACTTTTCTCTCATCTTTTGGTCCACTTAAAAGAAAATGTAAATGATAGCTGCAGCATTTGTTAACAGTTCACGACAATCACAGAATCTACAAAAGGGCTTTATACCACACACACCAATAAGGAAGGCGCATGTCTACACGGTTTTTACCATTTTCAGAAAGAGAAATCCAGTATAATTTCCCAATTGTAAATTTTTACAAAATACCTCTTAAAATATATTCTGCATTTTATTTCAGAAATGCATTTTATTTAAAAAAAAAAAGAAAAGAAGAAGAAGGAACAGATTACAAATGAGGAAATCACAGTTATGGCAGTGCAGACCAAGGAGAACTATGAGGTTTCATCACCCACAAACCCGTCCACATTCCAGCTACCAGTGAGGTTGACATTGCTACTAAACAAGATGAACACTGGCAGTAGATTCAGAGCTGTGATGACGTGTGCATTCAGCTTTGTATCAGATAAATATCTGTGTTAAATCCTTCCCTTACAACCATAGGTCTTCCAACTAAAAAAAAGTCACCAGTTACTAACATAGTACTTCATAAACTGCTATGTTACTTCAGGTCCTTAGGATTAGATCAGACTTTTACAGAAACATCAATATGGATATAGCACTGTGAGAAAAGGCAGGCAAGTTTTTATAAGGAGAGTGAACAAGGAAAACATGGAAAGTGAACTGATCGTAATGCTCAATTTACATATTTCCAAATGCTCCGCTGTGGACAAACTAAGAAATCCAATTTTTACTTGGTAGGCACGTGAAGGGGAACGTGGATAGAAAAGCGCCTTTATTATACAATCGGCTCACGGAATTCACTGATAGTTCCACACAAGCACCTTGTCAACATGGCCTCAAAATTAATTACTGTAGCAGTTCCATAAGGTTGTGAATAATTCTTTGACCTCCAAGTTATATTTGTATCTATATATACACACACACATGCTAATCAGAATGTACCAGTCAGTGGGTCACATGTATGAGGAATCAGCCCCATCAGCCTAGACGAGAAGTGCCCAGAGTGACAGATTCAGTGTAGGTCACATAACATGCCGTCTCCCCTTAGACTTAGCGTCCTCCTGTCTGTGCAGAAAGGCAGCAGGGTAGCAGCTCATATTTCAAAAAATGTGCCTTATAGTTCACGCACAGCAAAATGTATGCCTGCAGGAGGGTATATTTTAGAATGGGGAGTGGACATCTATACGTCAATTTGTCTGTATTTTTCCTAACACAAGAAGACGCTCCATGGAAAACAGTCGTGGGAGATCAAAGCAAAGTTGGTGATAAACTTCACAAAAACAGAAATATAAACCCATAGAAAAACTGACATAAGGTTTGGGGACAATATCCTCAGAAGTATATTTCATTTTGAAGTATTACAGTTGTAATTAAAAAATAACATTTTGCTGTGTCAAGAATTTATTTTATATCAAGTTTCGTTGAAAACATTTTACATTCTTTTTTGCAGTTTTTGGCCAGGGCCAGGTTTGAAACCGCCACCTCTGGCATATGGGGCTGGAACCCTACTCCTTTGAGCCACAGGCGCCGCCCAAAACATTTGACATTCTTTGGGAAACAGCCATTACTCAGGGTCTTAACTACCACCAGCATCAAACGATGACAGCAAATTAAACCAAACTCTTAAAAGAGAAGGCGTCACATACTAACAAACACCGCACGCTGAGTCTTCTCACGTGTGGACCAAATGTGCAGAATTAAAGGCTGACACTGAAAACCCGGTATATTCAAAATCATTCAGAAGAGTCAAACAGGAAAAAGAGCAATGCAAACAAACCAAGGACGACCAGACTTTTTTCGAGACCACTGGTGTATTGTATTGAATGTCACACAGAGAAAGGCAAAGGAGCTTTAAAGACTTGTGGCCACGGAAGATGCGGACGCAAGCTGGACGGGATCTGAGAAGCGTTTCCAGGTCTGTGAGTTACACCCTGGGCACGGAAGCAAACACAGCATAATGTTCTCAAAGAAAGCAAGGGCACTACCACCCCACACTGGATTGTTACCTCTAACAAAACGTAGGCGCTACATGGTAAGAGACCGGAGAGCAAGTGAAACTTGGGTAGGTCACATCAGAACAGTTGGAAATTAACAGCGATATCTAATTCTCTGTCACACAGGATGACTGCTATGAGAAATATGTCACCGGAGGAGGCTTCCTGGAGCCCTTCCGAGCCTGGACGTGGCGAGACGGCAGTGCTGCAAATCCGTTTCCTGTACATTCAGTAGAAGAACTTTTTTTTATTTTTTGTCCATCGAGAGCCCCTGGCTATTAAAACAAACTGTCAGCATTATAAGTTAAATCAGAGCTGCCAATCAGAAGAAGTACTCTTTCTGATTTTCATTCACTGCATTTTGTATATTAAGCTCACTTTTCAAAACAGCCTCGGCACTGTCTACATTCTCTGACCTTTTTGCCTCATTTCTTTTGTATAACCTTTTCTGCTGATAAATGCGAACAGCTATGGCAGTGATGCAGAGCAAGATAAAGATCACAACAGCTATCAGACCTGGAGAGAGGAGAAGAGAAATACAAAGTCACAAGTTTTGTCGGAAGGGAAACTCTGCTGACTTCACTGCTTAGTGAGTCATAATATCATTATTTGCTACTTAATTAGAATCATGAAAACTTCAGCCATTTCTGGTTCAAGCAGTATCATAATATTTTGAGTTTACTTCTGAGTTCAGTCTTGTGGGAGCATCTCTGTTTATTCTGAATGCATATTATATTGGATTTCCTTACTAAGTAACTATTTATATTTATAATTAGTGTAAGATATTACCTACATGGCTCTAAAACCATGTGGCTGTTTCATATTAAGATATAGGTACGTTTTAATTATTTGAAATTACCGAGTATATGATTTCTTTGTCTTAATTTGTGGAAGGCATTATATCAGAATTTGTTTTGCTCAAGAGAAACTTTGATCTTACCTGTTATATCAAAAAAATAAACAATAAATAGGACATTATGAATAAAATATGACCAGCCCCTGTACTCTATTATGTTATCTCTGAAACACTATGAGAAGGTGCTTTTACAGGAAAAAAAATATAGCTTTCTCTTTGTCTAAACCTGTCTACCCGTACCTACCTATCCTGGCTAGGAAACCTTTACAACATCTGGGTCACCATCAGCACTTTAGGTCTTATTAAAGCAACTGTCCCATCTTACTGCTTATGAGTGAAGGAAACAATTGTCTAAAATGAACAACACAGAGAGACCCGCCAATACATCTTACAGTGGATTAATCACAATTACACAGTAAGTGCGATTTATGAGTCATCAGACGACGAGGAAAGAATTCCAGCGCAATGCTACCAGACTGCAGAATGCAAAATGCACCGGGATTTACCAGATAAATTGCACGTAGCTCGGACAAGGCCTTTCGAGCTTACAGGGCCACCACCAGCTTCTCAGTGTCTGGGGCTCAGTCCCCGCCATGACCCAGACTGGCTTCACGAGCCCTGGCAAGACCCTGAGAGGCAGGCCTGCCATCCTGTCTCTGTCCTGTGCATTGAGCAAAGTGAGCGTTCCACGGGTGAAGTGTAATTTGTTTCCATTCACGAATAACTCTCCTAGAATGACCTGTCTACAATGCTTTGAAAATTTCTAGCTTCGTGTATCTTGCTAATGATCTCTGACCAAAGCAACCTCAGTCCCAAGAGTAAACACGTTGTTCTAACACTGGCTTGACTGTGTACCACCCTGTATTTATCTCTAGCTTTGTATCTTTGTTTACCTGTATCTATACTAGTTCTAGAAGAAGCACTATTACGAGTCTGAGACGATTTGTTTGACTAGGAGTTCTAGAGTTCTCGCTTAAACCAGCGAGCACACTGTAAATGCTGTAACTTTAAATGAGTTTTTACTGTATAATGTATTTCTTTTATTGATTTTTTTAAATTTTTTTATTAAATCATAGCTGTGTACGGGGAGGGGAAGGGAAGGCGGAGGATGGGTGGTGGGAGGGTGATTGATGCACAATGTATTTCTTTTAGATCTATAGTCGTTAGCTATTCTTCAAACAAGGTTTTTTTCCTCTTAATTAATTTTTGCTTGCTAGGTGACTAACAGGGATCTTATTTTTTTTTTTATAATTTTAACTACTTGAAGAAAGTATAGATGAGTAAAGGTATGAAAAATAAAACCAAACGAATCAGGGATAGGATCCACATTCGCTTCTCAAGCATGTAAATAACCACGTTATCTGGCAATGTAATAGAATAATTATTTACTTTTATATGTCCGTAACACATTCAGGGTGTGGAGAAAGGTGAACCACTTGACATTTCCATGGTCTGATTAATATCATTCTTAAGAGCATTAATCAAGAAGAAAAAAGGCCTTGTTTTTGAGATTAGTTTTAAATGAATTGCATCTCAGATAATACGCTGTCTCATTGCCCACAGAGATACACTTCAAAAACTTCTGTGTTAATTCTGCAATTTAAAGTTACTCCTAATCACTTACAAGTCCATTAGTGTAATATTTGATAAAAGTGCCACTCAAAGTGTAGTGCACTATATACAAATACCCCCTTTATTAAGCATTACGGCCATACAAAATATATGTTTCTAATGTTAATCTCAGCAGAGACCTATCCAGGCCAAGAAAAATGATCCACTCAAAGACATTCAGAATTTCCTAGGGCAATGATTGCAGAGGACCATTTTCAAGTTTAAAAAAATAGTCATTATTACACAGCCTAGCAACTGTTCTTTAAGTGAGGTGCTTCAGTGAAATTGGCAATTATTTATAACAAAAATTTCCAAAGAAACAGAGAATTCAGAAGGATTCCATGAGATACAATCCAGTGCTAACAGTAAACCGCCTCACTGTCCCTGTGATTCAATGCCTGGCCCGTGGGATATGTAAAGATTCTTCATAGATAGTTTCTGCCATGTTAAATCGTCACCATTATTAGCAATGATAGATCATTCATGCTTCCCATTACCTCCAATTACTGCAGAGTCACTTTTGATGGCATTAGCTAGAGGCTCCTTGTCATCTATTGTTCCAGAATGATCTATAGTTAAAGCACAAAAAGAGAGGAGGGTGATACAGGCAAGTAAAAAGAAGAAATTCTGAAAAATTCATGGATGTTGTACCCCAGAACAGAATGATGGAGGTGAATGTGAGATCGCTATAATTTTCAATTTAAGCAGTATCAATGGCAATGGCCCACACGAATAAGAAATTGAGAATCTAGAAAAGAAATGGGAAAGAGAACTGAAAGTTAAACAAGCAAAACCGACGTAAAGAAACCAGCCGGACACGGCAGCCGACCAGCAGCATCAGAAGTTCCTGACACTGAACGGCCAAGCTGGGCGTGTGACGGGGCAGAGGGAGAGCCCTGGGTTACCTGCAAACGAGTGTGTCCTTTCCCTCGATGTGGCATCCGTGCCAGCCTGGGCCACACAGCTGGACTCGGTCACGTGTCCTGTGACAGTGACGGGGGCTGGGTGGCTGGGGTGCAGGGCGGCCTTCAGAGGGGCCACGTGACTGAGCTGCACGGCGGAGAGGCAGCCTGTGAAGCCCTGAGCGCCGGCCAGCGCTGTCTCCTGGTCTATGTCACTGTGTTCTGCAAACCCACAGAGACACCAAAGTATCACAAATGCTGCAAAATCCAAAAGGGCAGAGCCACAGAAAGCAGGTCTTCTAACTCTGTTAATGCAGCTATACACTTAGAGCCACCAAGTTCCTTTTTCTTTTGTCTTTACTAAAGGAGTTGGAGCCTTCAAGCCTTTTCACAGCTGTTGATGAGATTTCCTACACTGTTCATGAAGTCAAATTTTTAAGTACGGCTATTAAAAATAACATGGTAAACTCTGCAGAAATTATTAAAGCCGTTGTAAGAAAGCATCATTATAAACTAATGAACGAAGGATTGTAATAGGTTAAATTTAAAAAGCGATCACTGAAATGTATTTACCATCGGGTGTATAGTCAATATTAAGCAGTACGTGCTGGATTTGGAGCTGAGTTCAGTTCAGCTTTTGAGTCTTAAACCATGAAAATAACAGAAACTAGAGAGAAAACTGAGCCTCAAGAGTTCCCTTAGTTGCCTAACCTGACAATTTGGGCTGAAAGCTTTCAGAGACTCCATGACTTCACCTAAACACGCCAGCAGAATGACACCAGTGGAGGCCGTACCCCGAAGTTATTAGGGTCTTTCTCTAATTACTGGTGCACAGCAGTGCCAACTGTCACACCCCACTGCCTTCTCCCTGTTTCAGTGACTGCCTGTCACTCAGGAATGCCTGTACCCTCCAAGGACAGATAATCCCTCCCCAGATTAATGAGAATCTAGCTAGTATGACCCTGTGTGAAAGAGAGATTGGTTTTAATGCCAGAATATTAATTTATAATGTTACAGTTAAGAATATATCTACATACCAGTTGCTTGGCAAGCAAGAAATCTAAATAAGAGGAATCCATTATAGAGTTTTAAGGCTCAAATGTTACCAAACTATGAGGCATCCATCCACCAATATGATCATAAAATAGCGTAACTATTCTCCCCTGCCCTTTACACGTGTGGGGAAAGACAGAATGTGAGTTTTTGTCTGTCTACTTAAAAAACAATAACATAGTAGAAATTAAGTATTTATTGAGTACCTATTATATGCTGGGCACTGTTCTAAGGGATTTGCATATTACTATTGAAACTTTACAGTGGCCCCAGGAGTGGATTATTCCAATCACACAGATGGAACTCTTAGGTTCAGAATTTTAATGATTAGCCTGAGGTTACCCAGTTGTTGGTATTACGTACTAGACCTCAGGCCTACTGGATTCCAAATCTTTAGCTTCTTTTGTGTGTGAACCATTTCTGGCTGAGATCCTCCGGGCAGGATTGGCTGTCACTTCCTGCCTTGGGGGCAACGGACAGGTTGCGGTTATATAACAAATTACATAACAGGTAGGGTTATGTAACAGTCTCCTTACTACCCGAATCCTTCATGGAAACTTCACCCACGCTACCCTGCTTAGCTGCTAATGAGCACCAGGTCAATTAAAGATCACTTGGAGATCCCAGAGAACTGGAGAACAGTTCCGGGCAGCAATCTGGTTCCTCGCTACAGCTCAGGTCTGGCTGACCCCCTTCACCACTTCCTTGCCCCCTGTTTACACCGCACTAGGCAGCACTGGGACAGTTTCACTCTGCTGCTCACACGCTGGACTGTGAGCTCCTTGCACACCGACATCAGGTTGTTATGTCACACAGGAAGCAGCTCATCAAAGTGTATAAACCCAAAACACAGCCTGATCCGCTGCTGCAGTCACTTGGACAGGTGCTCCCTCGAACACACATATGTGTGTGAGTGCACAAAATACATTGCAAGGCCAGATTTAGGCATATGCATATAAACACATGTAATATATTAGAAGACAGATTTTTGCTTTGGAGGTTTTTTAAAGTTCTATTTTAATGGGAAATTAAAAAGAAAATACATATAATACATCAATGGTTTTATCATCACATAATCAAAACAGTGCGCTTCACATTTCTTCACAAGGACAAAATGTTGAATGAAATTTCCACAGCCCTGGCAGTACCTGTGGCTCAAGGAGTAGGGTTTGAGCCGGATATACCAGAGGTGGTGGGTTCAAACCCAGCCCTGGCCAAAAAACTGCAGAAAAAAAAAAGAGAGAGAGAAATTTCCACGGTCTTTTAAAAATATCTTTCCCTTTGAGCCAAAAAAGTGTAAATAGACAAGATTCACTTTTCTGGTAATATTAATAATATGATCTGATGCATCTTTTAAAAGCCTCACACAAATTAAAAACATATTACCTATTTTGAAATTATTATACAAAACCCTTTAACCGCTAAAACTTGAAATGAACAGTCAGTCCACTAATCTGTCCTGTTCTAAGAGCTAAAGAGACAGAAAAAATTGCCCTATAATTCAACCACGCTTGGTGTTAGTGGGAGAGGGGTGCGGCAAAAGACACAGAAACAGAAACTAAGTGAGCATTTTGAAGAGTGACAGTGCTACGAAAAAAAAGAAATCCGACTACGTGATGGATACATTTGGAACAGAAAATTATCTTGATGGATCAGGTTATTTTTTGTGTTTTAAGGGCAACGCTTTTCACAGCCCTATTTTCTTAGTACACTGTGAATATTACTCCGGTGTCTTCTGGCTCTATTACTTCTTTCTCAAAATTTGTAAGATTCCCTGTGATTTTGAAATTTCTATCAGATTGTCCCTAGGAGTGTGTCCCATCTCAATATTCTGCACAGAACACGATGAGCCCTTCCGATCTGCAGATCCGATGTTTTTAATCAGCCTGGGGAATTTCATATATTGTGTGTGCAGCGACTCCTTGACCTTCCCCCCGTCTTGCCCTTCCGGAATGCCGCCTGCTCACATTTGGTGTCCTCTATATACCCCCTGAATCTATTTTGTTTCCCTCCTGATTTCTATCCCTCAAAACTTATTTCTGTGTAGGTCAGATGTTTCACTCATTGATTTTCTAGGTGCAAATTCAAGCAGCAACAAAGATCACGTTTTCCTTTTTAATTTTTCAGTTTAAAAAAAAATCTTAAGTTTTTAGATCCTTGTGGTATTGTTGTGGCTTTGCTAGAATTTCCTTACAGTGTTCTTACTAAGTTTCATTCACATTGTTATCTGTCTCCCTGGATAGCTTTATTTTGATAGAGAGTCATTCTGGCTTCGGTTTTTCTCCCCTTTTCTTGATGCTGAATCCTGTGAAGTGTGGAGCTGGCTGGTTTTCTAATCTGCTTGCTGGTGTCAGGCCCTGCCTGCCTCTGGTGGCATCTCTGGGGCACTGACTCTGTCCCTGTGGACCAGCAGAGCAGCCACAGACCAAAGCACCTAGGGGCAATCTCTCCCCTCACCCAACTTTGGGACAGAGGACACAGCCCAAATGTCAGGTCATCCCCAGCTCCTTGGGAAATAGGAAAAATAGACACATTCATGTTTTCTAATGCTGATCTTTCCGCTCACAAAACCCAGGGATCTCTGGAAAGCAGGCAATACCCAGCATCTATACAAATCAAATTCTCCCCTTGAGGTTCCTCTGGGCTGGCCCCAGACTCTTCCAATGCAGAGGGTAGGACGTCCCACAGCAGCGTCCCTCAGCACCTTCCAGTATCCCCCCTGCCTGCTGGGCTGGACCAACATCTCTTTGTTTTAGGAAGTTTGGAATTAGAATTGGGTGTGGAGGGGCACTTGGCAGCCATCTTCCCAGAATGGAGTTTAGACAAACTTAATAGCTACATTAAGTTGCTCACAAGCAAAGCTTGCCTTAGAAATACACAGAATCGGACATTTGCTAATAAAGTCAATGATCAAAAATATGTGTCTTGTTCTCTAACACCTGAAAAGCAAACACAGTGTAAGGGATTAGAAAGGGGGAAAATGGAAGGAAGAATTAAAGACAATGTCTCCAGTTTCATAGGAATTCCGATAAAGCATCATAATTTGTATGTCGCGGGTCACAATAACCTTTAACTGACTCATAATTTTGAGTAGTCTTAAAAAATAAGCCTCAGTTGTATATTCCAACAAAGAGACTTACATCTGCTTTCATATAGAAGAAACCATCTAACAAAAGGTCTACAAGAAAAATGGAGCACCGCGACATTAGAATTTGGTGAAGCACCTTTCTCGTACGGAGACGTAACTTTTCAGAAAGATACGACAGTAAATGTAAGAACCATCACAGGAACTGCTTTGTGAAATTTCTTGTGGATCTCATAAATAACAACAAAATAAACAGCAGAAAACAAACATAAATAGTTTAGAATGTCAAACCCGTGAAAAGGCGCCATGTGAAAAAGGATCTCAGCATCATTAATCCGTGAAGATAAACGCAGAGAAATGGCGCAATGAATCAAAGGAGAAGCCGGGGCTGGAACCAAACACTGCACGTTTCCACTGTGTGCCGTTACACAGAGGACTCAACAGCAACCACAAACAGACCGAGTGGAAAAGTGAAGTGGCAAAGCAGACGGTGAAAACTACTGGGATAAAGGAGCAGCTTCCCATAAAGGGTCTTCACTAGCCACCCAAACCCACTGCTCTGAGATACAAGCTTGAAAGCCTAATTAACGCACAAGTCGTGTTTAGGCAGCTATTCACAATAACGGGTACTCTGCTTTTCTTTCAGCATAACCTGTCTCATCTTAACTATCATTTTACAAGATATTTGCAAAATCCCAGTGTTCTTAAGTCATCTAATTAAGCCTTCTTATGCACCCCTTTTAGCTCTGGAGCTGGTTGTACTGAAAATAGCCCTGAGATTCAAGATTGTTGCTAAAGATCTTCTGAGGAGATTAAGTAGACATCCTTTTCTATCCGACCACACACTTTATTTACATCTGGCCTAAATCGCCGCTGCAGAAATCTGAGTGTACTTCCTGAGCTTGCAGCCTTAGCAGAGATAAATGGTCCCTATAAGTCATTGCCTCTAAATATACCAAAGCTACCACTCAGAATGAGTGAAAATCATCTCCAAAGCTTTTCGGAAATTCTCCTAACATAGAAACTAATCCACAAACAGAATTCAGAACTCGAGAATGAGTTTTGGATACAAAAATCAAATGTA